GGGCGCCCGCCTGCGCTGCCGCGCCGCCGCGCTGCGCCGTCTGCCGCCGCTGCACGCCCGCCTGCTAGAGCTGTAAGTCAGCCCTATCCTGTAACTCTTACTGCCCGCTAGTCCTCGGCTAGAATCTATACGGCACTTAATAAACTTGTCACCTTCTGTTCCCGCGTATTTCTACTTCGTTGATGTCTTTTCCACTGCATAAAAGTAGAAAAATAAGACGAGAGCTTTTTCTTTCTTTCGTTTTCTTTCATTTTATTAATAAGAGTAAAAGCTTTTGATTCGCTTCTCTCTAAAACCCCAAAATAAAAGGATTTTCGGTTAAGGAAAAATATAATATATTAATTCTCATTTCTACTGATCAAAACTAAACTTCAAACTAAACTCTAAACTAAAAAATTTAAACTTCATATAATGTCACTTTACGTTAAAATGGGTCCAGCCGTTCCGGAACATTAACCGGAACAAACGAGGACTGTGGTTCAACATAAGGACTATATATATATATATATATAGTTTTTAGTTTCGACGCGTGGCTTTTTTCGATATTACATAAAGACACCACAATTTCATTTTTATTCATGTAAAAAAAAATATTTTAATACTAGTGACATCTTAAAACTTTAACAAACGTGTACAAAAATAAATATTAAATAATGAAGAAGTTGTACTTTACGACTGGCGCGTGTTTTGTGTGTAAGGAATGGATGTCGCTGTTGTATTTTAAAGAAAAAAAAATGTATTAACCGATGACGTTGATATAAAAATAAACAACGTCATATGCCTGCCTGACACAAGAGTTATTAGGTTGAGGAAAGAACAGCCTCTGGCCGGCTCCGGCTCCGGACGAATCAATACGTATGTAAACGTCTCGGTGGAACATTCTCTGTCATACATCTTGCCAAAACAAAACAAAATACATGTACAAAAACCACTCACTGAGCCTCTAATGAATGAAATAGACTCTTCTATTGGCCGCATTTATATACATAAAAAATAATAATAATAATTTCACATAATCTATAATGTTATTATGTAACATTTTCTTATGTTAGAATAGCACAGCAACAAAAAAATTATACAACTATGTAAAAAAAAAAAGCAAAAGGCAGGTTGTGCCAGAATCACGGGAGCGTCCTCGCTCACCACCGCACCGCTACGTGGACCTGCCCGCCGTGACTCAGTGACTCGCCTTGCATCGCATACCACACGGTGACGATGACATATATAAATGTTATCTAAAGCCTATGGTTATTATAGTTCATCAAATGTTGTAACAATTATTATCTTCAACACTCAGGAGTACAGGAAGCATGTGATAGCGCGGACTACCTTATCGGATTTGTAACAAGAAACGTGTATAAAAATATTTTTATAATAACTATAAGTGTAATCCGCAATTAAAATTATATAAATGAGCCTATTATTTTGAACCATTTTATTGTTTACACTTTTAAAGACAGACAAGCATCATAATGACGTAACAGCGCTAAGAAACATTATTTGAATATTTCGCCTTAAGTTTAAGTGTCAACAAAAACGACCCAAACGAGCTGTAACGGACGGACGGAGGCAAGGGGACGGAAACGTTTGTTGTTACGGGTTCGGGATAGTATTGCATTGTCACGTCAACAGTAATTTCTGCAGCGTCCCGCAACATCGCAACGCAGGATG